AATCCCTGCAGCCTCACGAATTGAAACGTTTGTTTTCTATAATTAACATTGCTAAATTGCAACACTAACAATATTATAAACAGCTGGACTTCTAGAAATCAATACTTTATTGACTTTCTTACCAAAGTTCAGATTTCTGATACGAGATGCTTTGATAAAACTTTATCAAAATCATACACCTTTCCTTAGATAGCATGCATGTGTGTCTAAACAATTTCAGAACTATGAAAAGGGATGCCGTAATCATAGTCTCAATTGTTTAGACCTTTTGCCATCTGCTTCAAATCTACTTGGTGGAAGTGTTTCCTCACCATCATTTTCATGAATCGGAGAGAAACCTTATGACCCTTAGATTTTATGGTGTATGTGTTCTTATCCATGTGAATCGTCAAAACCATAGTCACAAGACAAGGATAATGACAAATCCAAACTCATATGGACTGAACTTATGCAATCTTAACTTCTTGCCACCTGGCAGTACAGGCCTGCCATTGCTTCCAAGTTGTTATGCAACCAATTGAGAACTTTCAGAACTCCTATGCAAAGCCAACTTTAACTGGAATGGGCACAGAATATGTCAACACGATAGGTTATAAACCTCAAGTCGTGTGCTAGTGAAGAACCTCAGGTTTTATTCTTGATTAGTTCTTGAAATTCTTTTTAGGATCTTTAGACTCCCACTCCTCTTGACATATAAGACTATCTTGCCAAATATTCAAGAGATAGTGCGGATTCTTTATCAAGACAAACACTTCACACAATTGGCCTTAGTTGGTCTTTGTTTTATCCAAAACATCACAACTTACCAATTTCAAATGTACAAGAGTAGGACACTTTTACTCTTACATTTGACAAGTGTTTTAAACCTTTCTTTAAGATATGTCACTCAAGTTACAATCTTGGAGTATGACTCTAAGAATTGTTTTGGAACGAAGTATGACTCATTTTCCTGATCTAACCATTTCAACAATTCATGACTCCTCTTCTTAGTCATAAGAATGCACTAAGATGACCTTTAGAGGACTAATTGTAATATGATTTCTAAATCATTAAGATGGTCACAGACATGATACTAAAGTACTCTCCCATCTTTTCAGATTTGAGAAACTTTTATCTTTCTGCCTAATTTGATTCTTCCCATTCGTTCTGCCATACATTGAGACTTTTCCAATGTTTCAGAATTATACTTAAACTTGTAAGTATAACCATATTTACTAAAATTTAGTAAATCAAATAGTCTTAACGAGCTTTGTGGTGGACATGTCCAGTGCACAAGAATGTGTACTCGATCCCTTTAGTCCTTCACTTGACTCACACATCCATGTGAACAAGTAATTTGTCTTGATTTTCCAATGCTTGAAAGTTCTCATTCATCATACTATTCAACTTGCATGAGTCCAAGTTTCGGTTCAATTGAAACTTGGGCGATGAGGAACTTTCCTGATTTGGTAAATTTAGACACTTCCACAAATGAAAGAATCAAATCCATTTTCCAATATTGCTGTCAGTGGAATCATATAAGCAACAATTTTCCACAAATGCCATTGTAAGGATACTTCAAATAAATAAAATTAAACAATTTTCTTTTATTTTAAAACTTTGCGGAAAAACTTATCCTTATAATCTACATGGAAAATTGTTGTTATCTATTCATTAGCAATATATCATAACTTCTTAAGCAACTGCTCAAAATTCTAATGCGATCGAAATCCACCGTCGCGATCAGAATCAGCATATACTTCCTTTAAGATTTCTCTCTATTCTTTGATTCTTAAAACATGAACATGTGACCCAGTCACATCATGTAATGAGGATCTCAGAATAGAACTTAACAGAGTTAGATAATGGGCTCTACCTGATGTAGAGTCAAACTTATTGACTTTAACATCCTTAGGTAAATTTGGAAGCTTTGCAATCAACGCCCCTTCCTTTGGCAAAATAAACATATGGACCCTTTGGTAATGGGACTATCTCAGACTTAGCCTTTCTCTTTAACATTTGGTCAACCGGGTTGACTATGGCCAATCCCTTTCCATTAGGAAGAGAATGCTTTTTCTGGATTTCCAGTGTCACCATTGTCACTGTCCATAAAGTTTTTGGGAAGTTGATCTTCTAATCAAATTTGCTTTACTATCGTTCCAAATCATTGCTGATTCAGCAACACCAAGCAAATAAATATGATCATTAAGGTTCATGTCATAGTCTGTTTCATAGTAGTCCCAAAGGAACTCACTATGTGACTTAGAAAGTGATTGAACATCCAACTTTCTCAAGACTTTGACACCCAACTCTCCCGGCTTGTCAATATGTGACTTCATCTCTAAGATGTGATCACACATAGACATTGCTTGCCATTAGGGTTTGAGTGACCTTGAACTTGTGGGTTAGGGAGAATAATTGGAGGAGGTGGAGGAAGAGAAGTATGACTTCCATGAGCCAAACTCGGGAAGTCATATTCATTAGGAAACCTTGGTTTGGGAAGATCGTTGTTGTCTAAACTAGACGTCAACAATGGGAGAAATTCACGTAAAGTTGATTAATTCCTTAATATAACACCCAATATGATATATTAAGGCTAGGACCCAACAAACTATTTTATAACTTGGAAGAGGGATGCCGTAATCTAAGCTATAAAATATTTGAAGGTAGGTGAGTGACGATTCACCAATTTCCACCAAGATAAACGAAATGTATTATTAGGTTTTAATTGGTTTTGAAACTCCTAGATTCTTTTGAGATTCATTGAGCTTTTCAATGGCATGTTTCAATCTTGAGTGTGCCCTTCAGGTTTTATGACTGGGATGCCGAGGATCACAAAACAAGGTGTGAAGTAACCATGCAAATATACTTGGTACCCTTAATATTTACCCCTCAATCGATGTGCCGGTTAACCACACACGCTCCAACGATACTATGATAAACATTAAGTTACCCTTTGCCTACCTTGTTAAGTCCAGGTTAGTGTGCCGGTTAACCACACACGCTCCACTAACAGCTTAAACAAAGTGCAAAGTGTAATTTCATGGATTAGCACCTTATTCACATTTTCCTAAGTAACTAAGATTGGGAATTTATAAGTGTTTAGTTACTTAGTATTTATCATTATACTTATAATGAAGGGAGAATTATAGTCCTTGTCCTACCTGTTCGGCTAATGTCCCTCCACCGGTCAAGGAAGCGGTGAGTGAGAGTGGACACCCATTAAACTGCCATTTTATAGGCAGTAACCTTATACCCCCCTTATAGACCAGCTTCGTGAATGAGGCCTACTAATGATAAGACGACTTGCTCTTATACATATAATATATTAAACTTTTAATATTATAATAGTATAAGGGTGAATTTTAGACATTTAAAATACTTGGTGGTTTAATCTATTAATTAAACTAGACTTTTAATTTAATTAAACTCAAACCATATATTTATGAATTTAATAATACTCTTTTAATTAAACGCTTTAATTAACTATTAATAAAGTTCATAAGAGTTAATTTGAACTATTCAACAAAACATCATAATTCCAATTATTAAACTCAAAATTAAAACCATTTAATTAATTGTTTAAGTTATGAACCCAAGAGTGTTAGAATTCAATTCTTTTTATTCATAAAATTTTTTCCCAAATTCCAAAACTTGAGGGCAAGTTTTGTAACTCTTGAAAACTTTTGGATTCCATAACTTATGGAGTTAAATACTTGTTTTATGATGAAACTTTTCATGTTCCATAACTTAAGAACAAGTTATGGAATTCTTTAAAACATTAAGACCAACTTTTGTTACTCCATAAAAAACTTTGAATCAATTTTTTAAAAACATTTTCATATCCATAACTTATGGAGGTTTCAAAAAACTCTTTAGATCAAACTTTTAAAACTAATAAAATAATCATATCATTTTATCTTTTATTAAATTTGACCTAATTCAACTCATATAGAAAATGATTCAAATTTTACACATAATTAGTTTTTCACAAAAACAAGTAATTATCTTAAAATTTGACAAACTTCATGTTTTTTTTTTTCTTTTTTTTTCAACTTTGAAAATCAAACATTTTGCATGAATATAAAAGAAAACAACCCATGGCTCTAATACCACTGTTGGGTTTTGAGCATTCTAACACTCCTATGGTGTACATGCAACCCTATAAACCTTGGATCTATGTTTTCTCTATTATACATGCAGATATTAACTATTCCAAGGTTTCATCCTAACTAGCATATTATGAAGCACCTATACTACAAAGTTCTAGTTAGATGACATACCTTTTGATGTAGCTTGATGTCTTCAAGCTTTAAGAGCTTAGCCCCAATAGTGTGGAAGCCTCAAATGGAATCACAAATCACCAAAACACCTTGGAAGAACTTGAGAGAATATGTATGCACACTAAAATCGGCCCACTCTTATTTTCACACACTTGTGCCAATTTTGTGAGCCAAGGACCCCTTTATATATTATGGAGGATTAGGGTTACATCCATGTAAACCCTAATACCCATGACCTTTTATTTACATAGGATCCATGGGTTAAAAGCTCCATAGACCATCCATGGAAGCTTAGCCCAACCTAAATGAACTTGGCCCATTCCATATATATAAGAGTCCATATTTAATTAGTTCTTTTTGATCACTTAATTAATTCTAAATTAATTCTTGATCAATACTAATTAAATAATATGATTCCATATTAATATATTAGAACTTATAATATATTAATATAAATAATAAATATACTATTCTCAAAAGACTATCCATATAAATTGTACTGGTGAAGTGCAACCCAAATGGACCATGCCGGGTCGGGTCAAGTACATACCAAATATAGTTATGGACTTAGACATTAATCCAACAGATATAAGATGTCATGACATACAGATCAAATTTCAAGATTCAATAAAATGCACATAATAATATGTTTTAGGGTAAATTATAAAAAAATGGTCCCTGAGCTTTCTGATTTTCCCATTTTTAGATCAAAAGTGAAACATTTGTCAACTTTGGTTCTTATTTTTGTTCCAATTGCATATTCTTTTCTCTTCCGAATTCATATTTGTGTTTCCATTCTGTAGCCTCAGCTTGAGCAGCAGCCTTAGCTTCTGCTGCTTCTCTTAAAACCTTGCCAACAGCTTATGAATGACATAAACCACAAGGATCAGACATGAACCTTTTTCTTTACAAAAGCATCCTACTTTTATTTCACCTAAATGAAAGCAATCATACTTCTCATGGCTTCTGAAAACTCCACAAGCTGATCTTCAATCCCATCAACAAGTGGAAGTGGCTGATCAACAATTTCTTTTACAGCTTTCTCTAAGTTTCCAAGAGGAAGGAAATCATTTACACCATTCTCCTGTGCAAGATTATGTGCATTCGCCTGTTCAAAATTGAATGAAAATTTGGAAGATAGTAAGTGGAAAAGAGAGAGAAGGGCTCTACAAAAGTTAAAAGGCAACACATAGCAACATAATTTCAGTTATTTGATTAGTATAGAATGCTACTTCTATTTCTTCCAGTTGTAGCATTGTATTTGAAAAATCTACCCGATTGGATTTTTATGTTAGTATGATAGGAATTGGATTTGTTTTATGTAGCTCAACAGGAAGAATTGATAATCAAAAGTTATATACAAGATACTACCTTCATAGGAACCTAGATAAAAGGAATATGGACATGGCAGGAATTGGTATTGCTCCTACTCATCAAATACTAATTCACAAACAATCAAACAAAAATTAAACCCTTACAAAGAAAAATTGATCGATCCTTTTGTATTTGCTTGCACCTTCATTCCCAGCCAAGAACACCTCCAAATGGAGGTGTTAATCATAAGTATTTCAGCTAACCATCAAGGGCAGCAACACCTTCTATTTCTTTTCTTCTTTCCCATCAATTTCACGACCCCGATTGTACTTCTTCTTCCCTGTCAAATAAAGCAACCCAAACGAAATCCTTTTAATTTTCGATGTTTTTTTTCTCAGTAAACTCAAACACCCAAACATCCCAGTATTCATTGATACTGGTCGACACAAACAAACAAAAAAAAGAAGAATATGACCTATGAGGTTCAAGCAAACCCCATCCGTTTACCTTCAATCACCAAAGACCACCACAACTTCGTTCTTCTTCCTTCGATCTATCCAAACCCCAGAGGTCCTCCCCTTCGTTCTCAACAACCACTGGAGATGGAGTAGCATCCGACGAGACCGAGAGGCTCCCACTATTTTCATCGATCAGACATCCACCCAAACCTTTCCTCCTTCCGTTTATTTCATCGAAATCAGACAAGAACCCGACTCTTTTACCCCGATTTCTACCGATTATAGAGTCTAGGAAGCCAAGGAAGGATCACCGAAAACTTATAATTACCTCCTCCTCCTCACGAATAGATCGATTGTCCCGACCTACCATTCGCTACTTGCCCTGCTCTATCGGACTAGTTGAGTCCTCTCCCTACGTGTAATCTGCTGGCGACAAGGAAGAACAGCTAAGGAGACCGCCGGAGCGCCCCCCTTAGCTACGACAGACAAGATAAGCGTCGCTGCTTCTCCCTTCTCCTTTCATCAAATCGATCCCGCACCGGAGGTGCTTACCCTTTCTCGATTGATTGCCATCATCGAGCCACCGTGGCTGCTTGCATTCCCATCTTCCTTGATCGACAGATCAACCATGACCACCGGACCAAAACTCCCGCTACCTTCGTCATTCTGATTCCCCTTTTTAGATTTATCTGTGGGGAATCAGAAACAAACGAGAATCAAGATTTGCATTCCTATTATTGAGACTTGAGAGTATAATACTAAATTAGGGCTTTTTACTGACAAGTTCAACATCGAGTGGGAGATATGTTGGTTCCATTGGGTAGAAGTAAGTGAGCCTTGATCGATGTCAACGAACGGGGAAGAATCAGTGGCGACGGTCGGAGTTCAAGGGAAAGAAGCAAGCAACATTCGATGTAGGGAGGCGGAGGAAGACCAGAGAAGATTTTTGTGGTCAAAGAACACACCCAGAGCTAAAGAGGGGAAAAACGGAAGGAAGGCGGGTTTTCTAATTTTTTTTATTTCCTTTTTCCCACTGCTAGTTGCTGAAGAGCGCATTTGTAAAATTATAAAGCGACATTTCTAGACGACACGCCTTTAACATAAGCGCCCTCCGTGTTTTTTTTTGTGAGACACTAATTTTAGGGCACACAAAAATGCGCGTCCTAAGTTCTTCAAATTTCTAAAGATCTGACATTATTTTTAGGGCACGCCCTTTTGCGTATCATTAATCAGTGCGTGTCATAAAAAGCGTGTCATTAAAGGTATGTTTTCTAGTAGTGTAACATGGTTGGATTTCATATACCGGGCGACCCGTACTTTCCCAATCAAGGAAACGGTGGTTGGATTAAGGATGAACCAGAGGATGACCCTGTGGTTCCAATAGAAGAAGACTTCGAGGAGGAAAATGAAGAGGATAATCAAGAAGACTCTGAATTAGAACCAGAAGTCTATAATCCACCTCAAGTTGCCTAAAACCCCAATCCCCGTCAGGGCTTCCAAGGTCTGACGCCTTAGTGGGCATTGAACATAGATAGGTGGACTCATGAGAAGGGTCAAGACCATCCTTACAATGGGGACCGAAGCTTATACAACCTTGATGACGGAGGCTCAGCAGACAGAGCCCTCCCTATGATAGTACGTCGAGTTGCTCATAACGATGAGAAAGAAAGGGTAGCCATCCATCGAGTTGTGGAGGTCGGTGCTACCTCAGTAGTCAACATTGTTCGCCTCCGCCACTTGAGCGAAGACCAAGAGTTAACCAGAAATCACACTGAAGCCTTGCAAAGGGAACTAGCTGCAACCCGAACTGAAGTTAGAGAACTTCGAGAACGTCAAGCAACAATAGAAATGCGTATGTTTGCAACAGAACGCCAGTTGGCTAAATCCAAGGCTGAAACTAGTAGGAAACCAAATAACACTCCTCGCGAATAAAGCATACTCTACTCACTCTTTTAAATATAGTTTAAGTCTATGTATATACACTAGTGATGTTTTCATGTACATAGTACGGCCTCGAAATTTCACTTTTCGATAGGCTGGTATGCTGTCCGAGTTTTCCGTTAAGTTGGTATATTGTAGACCTATTACAAGGTCAAATTTTCTGAACTCTATGTATCTAATATACCAATGAAATTGACAGGCATCTTATTCGCTTTGAAAAATCCCTATCCAATTTCACATTATCGCTTAGCAAGTGGTGAAAAATCTCAAAGGTGTTGTGGAGAAAATGGGATTTTCTCTCATGTATGTTTTTGATCAATGTTCAAGTATTGATCCTGGTCCATTTATAAAGTCATACTTAATCTTCTTCTGATACTTACTATAAGGGCATTTTAGTCATTTCATTAGTTTTATGTCTCATAAGTTACCTAACTTAGGTAATTAACTTATCTAATGATTCCATAATCAGTATGATGCATTTGTTGAGATAAATGAGGTCTGTATGAAGTAAGTAGTAAATGAAATAAGTTGTTCCCTTTTTGTTCTGAATGAACTGTAAATGACCATTTTACCCCTCTTTTCAGAGATAGTGCTGAATAACCAGTTCCCTCAATTTCCTATTAAGAGCTTATGTGGAACTATATAGAACATTCTTTTTCTTTATCTTTTCTATTTTCAGTCTCATAGTCACAGGATTCGCCAAACATGCAACGATCTGCTATCCAATCGCTGCGTTCTGAAACGTGGTACGATTGCGATCCAATCGTGGCCGATATCACATCTTGGTACGTGAAACCATCATTCCGCAATTCATTCTGGATCAATGATGAAATCGCGTTTGGATTGTTCCATAAATATCCCAATCGCAAATTGGGCCTCCAATTCATGCGTTCAGATCGTTGATTTCAGTATGGCGGGAAATCTCGAGACTTTAGAAAATCGTCTTGTTTCGATTTCCATTTTATTGCTTCGATTTTCGATTCTTCACATTTCAATATAGATTAATTAATTAAACTATCTGATGCTTTGAATTATATAATATATGGGCTAAGGCGCATACAATTGAATCTATTTTACACTCGATTCTATTAATTTTAATTTACCAAAAGATATTAATTAATTCCTCACATCTGGGTAGCATCGCCTCACGAGAGATAAATACCAAAATTCCCTTACTACACTATTATTAAAAGTAAAAGAAAATAACCTACTAAAGCATAAAAGATGATCAACATAAACATGACATTGTCTCCTTTGAGAAGGGAAATATAACCACAGCAGAACGTAGCAGTAAATAAGTATATTTTAATTTAATTATGAAAATATGTTTATATTTCTTGCATTTTACCTAATATTATATTAGTCTTTGTTTGTATTTTCATGAAGAATATGATGAGATGCATTATAGTGTTTACATTTTATAATACAGATTTCTTTGAAGTAGGAAACTCCTCCACATCGGTCACTATAGTTGTGGCAGCCTCCACGTCACACATAAATACAACTAATACCATTGGATCTAGGAGTGGTGCTCATCCCTTAAATCATGGTGAAATTCGTGGACACCCACGGGAGTGTTCTTATAAGGACTTCACAAATGGAAAACCTAGAAAATTTAATGGGACTGGGGGATTCGTGGCTCTAACTCAATGGATAGAGAAAACTGAAGCAGTCTTTGAGATCTGCTCGTGCCCTGAAGGGAGCAAGGTGAAATTTGTTGCCTGCACCTTTTCTGACCGAGCTCTTACATGGTGGAATGGCCATGTAAATTCACTAACTCTTATAGTGGCTAATTCAATGAGCTGGGAAAATCTAAAATCGTTGATGATGCAAGAGTACTGCCCTAGGGGTGAAGTACGAAAGCTCGAACAAGAGCTTTGGGGCCTTACGATGATAGGTACAGACATAGCAACCTACACCAATAGATTCAGTGATTTAGCGATCCTATGTCCCGGAATGGTTGCTCTGGAGAGCAAGAAAATCGAAAAGGTATATCTGGGGACAATCACCTCAGATCCAAGGGAGTGTGTTAGCTTCAAATCCTGTTACATTTGATAGTGCCAAACAACTGGCACAGTCACTAGTAGATCATGGAGTGCGTCAAGGATTCATGACTGTTGCTCCAAAACAACGCAAAACAAACAAACAAACAAACAACAACAACAATAACAACAAGAAAAAGTCCTGGAACAAAATGAAGGGTCAATCTTCCCAAGAGCCTTCCAAGAAGCAACAGATAGTGGCAGTTCATGTTGCTACTGTTCCCGCTGCTGTTCCTGTTACCCTTACCCCAACAAAGCAGTATGCTAGAAATTTACCGAATTGCAAAAAGTGTAATTTCCAACACACAGGAAATTTCTGCCAGATGCACTGTAAGAACTGCAACAGAAAGGGGCACACTTCCCGTTTAATTAGTTCCTTTTGATCAATTAATTAATTATAAATTAATTCTTGATCAATACTAATTAAATAATATGATTATATATTAATATATTAGAACTTATAATATATTAATATAAATCATAAATATACTATTCTCAAAAGACTATCCATATAAATTGTGTCGGTGAAGTGCAACCCAAATGGACCATGCCGGGTCGGGTCAAGTACATACCAAATATAGTTATGGACTTAGACATTAATCCAACACTTCGGACCAGTAGACCTCTCTACTAGTGTTGGGTTTCTTTTGTACGCACTATATTATGTACTAACAACTCCATGTTTAAGTGATTACACTACTCATAGAGTCGTTATGCTGTCGAACTTTGTACCTTTATGTATGCTCTTTCGAGCAAATTTTCATGTATCAAAGTACGGATAATATTAGTGGAAAATATTATGTGTTTATTTGTGATGTTGTTATCTGTTATGTGTTTTATATTCTTATTGCTTAGTGTAAATTTATGGAAACACTTAGATGCGCAAATCGATTCACGAAATTCCCAACTTAAAAACAATACATACTCAACATCTTTCTGTTCCGTAACAGCAAGATGCCGCAAAGACCAAACCGCAGAAATTATCAACCACCGACACCACCAGAAATCGACTCAGCTGCGTTTCAAGCAACTGTATCTGCCGTAGTCATAGCAGCCATGTCGCAAATCCATAATGGGAACAATGGTGGAGGAAACGGGCAGGGGCTGGAAGTTCAAACAACAGAATAAATCAAGGACCTACCAAGACATGCTCTTACAAAGACTTCACCAACGCTAAGCCACAAACCTTTAATGGCACAGGGGGAGTGATAACCCTGAAAAGGTGGATTGAAAAGGTGGAATCAGTGTTTGAGATATGCGGATGCCCGGATGAAGTCAAGGTGAAGTTTGCAGCATGTACATTTGTTGATCAAGCTCTCACCTGGTGGAATGGGCATCTGGAGGCTATGACTCTTCCAGTGGCTAATGTCATGCCATGGACGGAACTAAAGCAAATGCTAATGGCTGAATACTGACCGCGTGGCGAAGTTCAGAAAATGGAGCAAGAGCTATGGAATCTCACTGTCCAAAACTCCGACATCGATGCCTACATAACAAGGTTTAGTGAACTGTCTCTGTTGTGCCCTGGCATGATTACTTCTGAAGGGAAGAAAATCGAACGATTCATCTGGGGATTAACTTCCCCAATTCAAGGAAACGTGATTGCTGCGAATCCCGAAACTTTTGACAGTACCAAGAGGTTGGCCAAGAAGTTATACGACCACAACACCAAGAAGGGCGAGAAGTCAGGGGAAACTGAAAGCAAGAAGGAGAGTGACAACAAGAAAGGAAAGAATAACAAGAGGAAGGGACGACAAGGCTCAAAGTCGTCAAAGAAACAACAAACAGTGACAGTTAATGTTGCAACCACCCAAGTTCCCTCCACATCACATGC